TCTAGGAGATAGTGAAGGACAGAGGAGCCTGGCATGCTTCAGTCCATGGGGTCGCAAGGAGTTGGACAGGACTTAGTGACTGAACAATTCTGATACATGTTTATTCTATTATATGTTTATTCTGATGTTCCATTCATAAGTATCAGTAAGGTGTCCTTTTCTCTGTGTTAGAATAGCTGAGGAGCCCAGGGCTGGTCTTTGGCAGATGGGCCACCTGGGCTCTCAGTGTTCACGTTGTGAATAGTTCTGCAGGGAGCCTTTCTGCACAGATCTTTGTGCGCACACACCTTCATTTCTTGGATTAACACCCAGGACTGGAATTGTGGGGCCATGAGTAGCTGTGTTTGTAACTTTATAAGAAACTGTTGAATAGTTTTCCAGGGTGGTTACACCATTTTAAATGCCCACTCACAGCATGCGTGAGTTGTTGGCTCTGTATCATTAACATTTTCTGTTGTCAGCCTTTAAAATTTTAATCATCCTAATGGGTATGAAGTAATAACTCATTGTGGTTTTAGTTTATATTTCCCTGATGACTAGGGATGTTGAGCACGTCTACAGTTCCTTTTTGAACTGTGTGTTCAGATGTTTTGCCTGGTTTTCAGCTGGGTTGGTGGGTTGTTATTTATTTGCAGTTCTTTATATTTCTGAATTTAAGTCCATTGTCAGATACAGGTATTGCGAGTGTTTTCCCCCATATGTGCCATGAATTTTTATTTTTTTATTGTCTCTTTCGATGAACAGAATTTTTCAGTTTTGATAAAGTTCAACTTGTAAATTTTAATGTTTAGTTAAGAATGGGTGGGGGGGAGGCAAAGGAGACTTCCCTCATCATTAAGATATTATTCTGTGTGTTTTCCTGGAAAACTTACAGGTTTATATTTTACATTCGATTCTAAGATCCCTCTCAGGTTATTTTTATATGTGGTGTGAGGTAGGGGTCTCTCCCATGGACTTCTAAGAGTTCCACATCCGTTGCTGGAAAGACTTCATTTTCCCCAGTTGAATTGCCCTGACACATTTACTTGATTGTTTATATGTGTGCAGTCTCTTCCAGTGCTGTTTTAATTCTGAAAATGTGAACTCTCTTTCACAGTTAATGTCATGTTTAAATTATATGAGCATCTCTCTCCACTACATTAATGAAAACACTGGACAAAAAAAAGAAAAATCTAACCCAGGCAGCTGAAATGGAGACCTTGCCTGATCGTCCTGTTCAGTGTTAAAGCCTGCCCCCGTACGCCCCTCCCCAGTGCCCCTGGCTCACCCCCGTTCCCTGCTTTCTGTGAGGGTTGGGTGGGAGCCTGGCAGGGCCCCGGGGCAGAGGGGAGGAAAGGCAGGCTTGGGGCAGGGCCCTTGCCGGGGACCCAGGTGTTTCCCAAATAGATAGAAAGTTGATGCTTTACCAGGAAATAGCCCTCATTCTGCCATGAATCCTCAAGACAGCAGATCAAGTTACTGTCGCTAATTTTCCCAATAAATTTGCTGCTCTCTGTGAACTATTATTATAATTATTAAAAGTGATGAAACAGAAAACTAACAGGGCAACAAGTGACATGAGTTTTCCTCGTTTTATTTCAGTGGCTGCGTTCTCAGGAGCTCTCTCCCCTTAGAAACATCTGTAAGATTTGTTTTGTACAATGGTTTGTCAGTTGGGCACTCCATTTTTAAGGTCATTCAAGAAAAAATAGAATGTATCAGTTGTGTGACTGCTTCCTCCTAACTGCCAGAAGAGTCTGTAAGATTGTTTGCTGTGGTCTGCTGCGGGCTTGGCTTCGCGTGTTTCGGACGCCAACAACTCAGTCAGCGCAGAGCCCGCAGCTGCCCTCTTGCAGAGCGTGTCCTGTTCTCAGCGCTGTCTCCAGTGCACGCTGAGGTGGATGCCAGTCGGCCGCAGCGGCTCTTGCTTCTGCAGGTGTTCCTTGCGCCCCGGTGCCAGCTCCCCGGCAGCCCCAGGGCTGGGGGGTGACATGCCTCCCTCCTCCCCCGCCCTTCCTCTGTCCGCCGTGCGTGTCCACCATGCGTTGTGCCCGGAGGAGGTGCTGGGGACAGGCCACACGGGGTGCAGCCATGCATCCCCACGGGGCACGGCTCCCAGGTGTGGGGGTGTGCGGTCAACGTGTCCGTAGCTGGTGAGCCTGACCCACCGTAGAAGCGTCTCTGAAGCAGCTGACCCTGTGGAGGTGGTGTTTGCCATGTATCAGTGCTCAGCCCACCAGCGATGAGGTTCATCCAGCAGGGCTGTGATCACGGGCACCCAGGTGGGTGCTCGTGAGGAGAGGTGGGGCCCGCAGCCGCGGTGCCCAGGTACCCTGGTCTCGTGGGGACCAGGCTGGGTGAGGTGACGGCCGTGTGCAGCGGGCTCAGGACGAGCAGCCCCTCCCCCTGGCGGCAGCATCCAGTCTGGTCCTGAAGCAGGCATGGCCGGTATGTGCGGAAACGGACCGCCCTGGGGACCTTCACCCACCCCAAACTTGGTCTTATTTATGGATGATTCCAAACAACAGAAGCATCCGTCCCAGACAGACAGGAAACCATAAGCGGGGGAAAGCTGGCCTCCTTGTCACCTCAGGACATGTCCCTCTGGGGACATACTGGGGACCCTCCAGGTAGGAACGTGGTGGGGGCCGGGTGCCTCTGGTGAGCTCCAGTGGAAGACTGTCAGTCCGTCCAGGCTGCCTCATGAAACACCCCAGATGGGGCAGCTTGTAAATGACAAACCCGATTTCTCAGCACCATAGCATCCGGCAAGTCCAGATCAGCTGTCTGGAGGAGTCCCCCTGTCCACTGCTCGTGCCCCTCGCTGTGCCCTCCCTGGGCAGAAGGGACGTGGGTTTCTGTGGGTACCAACTCCACTGTGGAGGGCCCCACCTCCTGCCCTGAGCACCCAGCTGCTCAGCATCGCCTTTGAGGGGTGGGTTTCAACATCCGGACCACAGGGGCACACAGACATTCAGACAGCAGCATGGAGGCGAGGCACCTCGGAGGCTGGATTGTGAGAGCAGACTGGTTCACCTGCTGAACAGGTGAACGTGGCAGGACGGTATCCACAAAGCGGGGCTCAGTTCTTTCTGGAAGTTTTTGGAAGTCAAGTTGCAATCAGCCACAGTTTATACCAATTGAGATACAACTCAGTCATTAAACTTTACACATTTTATTGCTGTTCCTATGACAGGAGTATCTTCTAAATGTTCTTTTTAGTAGGCCATTGAATCTTTCTTACTTTATGGAGCAGTAAGAAATGCATGAAGGAATTTGAATTTAGAGGGGTTGTTGTGCATGTGTATTTGGGCACTGGCATTTAGAGTCTATAAAATCAATTGGCAGTGAAGGTTTTATTTGCATGTGAGGACCTCAGCTAGATCACCATGCAGCTCTTTGCTAGATGTACTGGAGTACACCCATGGGGCAGAAATGGGCCAGACAGCAGTGAATCAGAAGTGTTTGTGTGCCACTCTCCTGAGGATTTTAATGTCCATAAAATACCTGTGTATAGAATGGAGAAGCAAAAACATTAGAAAAGTAAAACAGGCCCACGTCATAGTTATTCTTTTTTTATAGGAGCAAAGCAGTCACTGTTTACTGAAGTGTATTTTTCAGTTAAGAACTGTTGTCAAAGCTCATGTTGCCTGCACTGCCCAGCTCTTTGCCGAGGTCTGAGGGCAGCTGCAGAGCACGCTTGGCCGCCTCTGGCTCTCTCTGCTTCTGAGCCTCCCTTTCATATGTAGCCAAGTGAAATATAAACTCTGTGGATGCCGGAGGCCTTGCCCAGGAAGCAGTTTGGGAAGGCAGCCGAAGGTCTGGGGGCCAGGCAAGGCTGCGACCCCCAGCCTTTCCAGGAGGTGCCCGAGGGGCCCCTGTGGCTCCCAGCTCTCGGGATGGTTTTTGCACAGGGAAAATGCAGTCTTGCTTGCTTTTTAATCGCTTTACTCTTTATACTTCATTGTCTGCAGTCTCTGTGAGGATCAGCCTCTTAAAGATCAGTGAACTTTGCTGGGTTTGAAGTCAGGGTGAGAATCATTTTATTTAGTACAGGAAGTTTTCTTTGGGGAAGTCTGACCCAAACTGACTTTTCTATCTCTTGGAATTTAATTGAATCAGTCCAGCGGAGCAGGACAGGGCCGCGGCCCAACGTCCGCTGGTCGGTTAGAGTGTCGTTGACCCCTGGTTGCCTTCTCCAGGGTTCCTGGTCACTGAGAGAACCCAACATGCAAGGCAGTGTGTTTCCGGTTGCAGGCACCGGGGTATAACCAGGCTGTTGCCTGAAGTTTACTCCTGCCACTCACTGTGTTAAGAGTGTTGGGTGATCTTTGTTGTTCAGTCACTCAGTCGTGTCCGACTCTTTTCAACCCCATGGACTGCAGCACGCCAGGCTTCTGTGTCCTTCACCATCTCCTGGAGCTTGCTCAAACTCATGTCCATTGAATCAGTGATGCCGTCCAACCATCTCGTCCTCTGTCATCCCCTTCTCCTGCCTTCAGTCTTTCCCAGCATCAGGGTCTTTTCTCTTGAGTTGGCTCTTCATATCAGTTGGCCGAAGGTTTGGAGCTTAAACTTCAGCATCAGTCCTTCCAACAAATATTCAGGGTTGATTTCCTTTAGGATTGACCTCCTTGCAGCCTTTGGCTCTCAGCCTTCTCTTTGGTGCAGTTAATATCAGAATTTAAGTTTTTTAATGAGTTTTTTAATTTTATGCCAGCAAGTCAGCCTTAGCAGTACTTCCACGTCCTTAAAAACTGTGAATAGGGTGGAAGTCTGACTAAAGTAGCCTTAGGAACCGAACGCCATCTCGGGGCCGGGAGTGGTCTGCTGTTCTTTCCTCGTGTGACATGATTTTGTTTGCTCTTGGTGACACACACACAGGCAGTTTTTTACGTGGGTTTGTCTTCCTAAGACAAAGTGTGTATTTGATCTGGACTTATTAACAACCACAGTGAAACAGTTGAATTTTCAGACATTTTGGGACAGTTCTTTCATTGAAGCTCCCCTCTTTCCTTCAGGGAATACCTCAGTTACCATGTGCCAAAGCGTTATACAACTACGAAGGCAAGGAGCCCGGGGACCTTAAGTTCAGCAAAGGCGACATCATTGTCCTGCGGCGACAGGTGGATGAGAACTGGTGCCACGGCGAGGTTGGCGGGGTCCACGGCTTCTTCCCCACCAGCTTCGTGCAGATCATCAAGCCGTTACCTCAGCCCCCGCCCCAGTGCAAAGCACTTTATGACTTTGAAGTTACAGACAAGGAAGCTGACAAAGACTGCCTTCCGTTTGCAAAGGTAAACTTAGAACACATGGCCTTCTTTTTGCCAGCTCTTCTGTGTACTTGCACGTGTGAACTCTGGCCTGTGCAAAAACATACAGTAGTTTTATGTGAGCTCTCTCTCTGTGCTTCTAAAAATATCTGGGAGCAGACTTCTCAGATCAGAAAGACAGTAATTTTGTGCACAGAGTGTTCCCTATGAAAGATAATTTTGGGTGATGCTCTGTATGGTATCATTTTCATATTTTGGGCCTAAATGTAATTCTAAGCTATGTTTTTGGGTGGGTGCATGCCACTCGGGGATTTTAATTCCCTGAATTATGAATAACAAAATGAAGCATCTTTACTTCCTTATTTTATATGTAACTTTCTTTGCTGAAAAGCATACCAGACTGTGTCTATTGAATTGATAAAATGCTTTGGGATTTTGACCAGAATGTTGTGTTTTTTCAGTAAAGAAAAACAGTAGGATGTACCTTTAAATGGGCTTTTAAGCCCATTAAGGGAGAGAAGGTGAACAGAGCCTGAGAGGCCACCTCGAACAGGAGTTCAGGGCGTGGGTGGGGTGGCAGGTGCCAACAGGCTGCTCGTTTACAGCTGTCTGGCCTGGTGCCGTTCAGTTCATCACCTCCTGTGGTCACATCCTACAGGCATGGCATCTTAATTCATGTGCTCTTACAACTTGAGTCTCTTGTTAAAAAGAGAATCAGGTGGTGTGCTTCCTAGGGTCAGGTGGAGTAATGTCTGTTGATGTCTCTTTAGGACGACGTTCTAACTGTGATCCGCAGAGTGGATGAAAACTGGGCTGAAGGCATGCTGGCAGACAAAATAGGAATATTCCCAATTTCATATGTTGAGGTGAGTCAGTGTGTGGAAGCGTCAATCGTGTTAGTATTCTGCTTAGCAGACCAGACTTAAGTGTGCAGGGTGAGCATTCAGAAGTCCTCATGATCATTTCTCAGTACACACACACACACTGCCTCCCTGTTGCACACCTTAAGTGATACAGTGTTGCATGTCCCTTTCTTGGATAAAACTAGGGAACAAAGAAAGACAAAAACCTAGTCCACTTAAGAAAAAAAAAGCCCTCCTAGCAGAAAGCCCCAGGAATGCCCTTGTTCTGGATTCTGGGTTGGAATTCCTCCATCCTGCCCCACAGCTCCCGAGGACCAGAGGACTATGAGATGTTTGAGCTCTGTACTTTGTCCCCTGTTAAGAGCATTGGCGTGTCTGTCGAGTGGGATCCTGAGCTGCCTGCAGTTTTGGGGTCAGAGGCTGGTGAGGTCCTGACTAAGGTGGGAGATGCGTGTATCTGTGTGTTTATGTGCCACACCTCAGAACTCAAACACTGATTTGCAGGGTAGCCTCCAGTCAGCATTAAATAAGTGATGAACTGCCCACACTTCATCCCAGCAGTCAGTTAGCCACCCTCCCCACTTTAATCAGCTTTATTCAGAAACATACAGCCAATCCTCAGTAAAGTCTCTTTAGGAGTATGTATAAAGTAATATGTTGTATTAAAGAATAAATGAACTAAATTAAAAATGAACTAGGAAGTTATAATTTACAGTAGGCCTTGTAACATCATGGGCTTCCCTGGTGGTAAAGAGTCTGCTTGCAGTGCGGAGACCAGGTTCAGTCCCTGGGCTGGGACAATCCCCTGGAGAAGGAAACAACCCACTCCAGTATTCTTGCTTGGTGAATCCCATGAACAGAGAGGAACCTGGCATGCTACAGTCCATGGGGTCACAAAGAGTGGGACATGACTGAATGACTTCACTTTCACTTTATAACATCATGTATAATAAAGTTTCATGTCCTTTAGTCATAAGAATTTTATACAAAAAACAAAGGGGTACTTATATATAGTTATGACTGATCTGCATTGTTGTATGGCAGAAACCAACACAAAATTGTAAGCAATTTTCCATCAATTAAAAAATAAACAAAATTTTAAAAAAATAATTTAATGCCAAAAACAAAGTTGAAGACATTTCAGAGACTAAAACACCAGCCCAGACAACCCTGCAAGGTTAGCTGAGATCCCAGAAGGCTTCTGGGAAGCAGCGAGTTCTTAGCGACGTCTCTGTGGTGGGTAGATGGCGCTTCACCAAGAAAATGGAAAAGATGCCTTTTTACAGCAGAAAGGGCACTCACGCAGGATGACCAGCGTGTGCACAGGCCAGAAAGTAAGAGGCGCATAGGCTGTTTGGGAAACTGAAGGTAATTCTGTTTTTGAGATGTCAAGGCATGTATCTTAAACATGTAACAAAGTAAAACCACGTCACTTTTGTCCCTGCCTTTTCACCTGAGGCATTTAACAGGATCCTGAGAACAAAAATGACAAATTGTGTCATTAGAGCCAGCGTTCAGTCTCCCCCATAGACAGTGCGATGGCCCTCGTTTCCATAAAAAATTACTGTGACTACCATATACCCATGGAAAGGTAACTCAGACTGTGTACACGCCTTGAGTTTTATCCGTATCCTTCAAATGTTCCTGTTTCTTTTTTCCTTCTTTGGAATAAAGAACAGAGGAAGTCCTCAATGCTCAGGTGACACTTCCTGTACACTGTTAACATTCTAATGTGGTCAGGGAAAGTCACACGCATTTCCGGGTGTTTGGATGCTTACTCGCAGGAGCGTGGGTACACGAGCTTAGTAATGAGCCTGTCTTCACCTGTATGATCTGAGCTACAAGCCAGCACTTGGCGTGCAAGTGCTGGCCTCCACTCCAGGCAGGTGTGCAAGAGGACTGCCGTGCTTTTGTTACCAGGTGGGTGTAGAATTGCGTGATGGGCATGAATGATCCACCCACAGCAAACCCCAAGTCAGAGAGTCATTTGAGTCATGGGGATTATTTACTCTGACTTCAGTTGGGAAGATAAACGTCTGCCCAGGTGGAAAGTACTTGCATTCTCCTGCCTCTTGATTTCACAAGAGTAGTTTCCTCATTTGAACCACAGTTTTGCCAGTTGAGACGAGTGAACAAATCGTCTCTCTTGGGGGGAGGGTGGGGACTGGGAGCTTGTCGTTGATATCTGGCCATTGGATGGACATTGCTGGCACCTGGAGATTGGCATGGAGTTCAGCCTTTAGGTGAGGAGGTGGGTAGATTTCACTAGCAACCTACAAAATTCAACTGTTCAAGTAAAGCACAGGTGACTGTACAGGGCAGCTTCGCATGGAGTGAAGCCAGCTAGTGTTGGGAATCACAAACTGGGACTCTTTCCTGAGTATTGTCCTTCTCTTGCTCCATAAACCCCTTCAGGGCTCAGACTGTCCCCGCTATAAAAACAGACGATGTTACAGAAACCCAGTTGTAAATTATTTTCTTATATCTTGTAGACACACATTTAGGTCTCCACCATGTTAGGTGCCTCTGATTTTTGCACGGTGCTGCCCCAAACTCACCCCTGAGGATCAAGCAGGTACGTGTGATGATGTGTCTCAGGGGCCTGACCCCGCTGTGACCTGTGCACCGCGGCCCAGAGCTCAGGCCAGACATGACCCAGAGGACAGCCGCACGGTCCTTGAGGGCCCCAGTGTCCCATCCCCTGAGGACGTCAGCTCAGGGCCAGGTCCCCAGAGCGGTAGCCGGGCCGTCACAGCCTCACCAGCAGGGCTGGAAGCCCAAGTCCTGTTGGGCGGCTGGTCTGCAGAGATGCCCACGGGTGGGGCTTGCCCGTGGCAGCAGCTCTGACCAGGATGGCCGGGGTCGGGGGCGGGCCTGCAGCAGGATCTTGGGCCCGAGTCGGGAGCTCAGCATCAGCAGTGGGTGAGGAGAGAGCTGCGTGGGAAACCCAGGGTGTTAGAGGCACTGCCGGGGTGCTTCCCCTCCCATGACCCCCCCCACCCCTTCCTCCGTCTCCTGTCTCAATCCCACCCCGCTCCGGCACCAGGACTGTGTATCCTGCTCCTGACATGTGTCACAGGAGGTGACAAAAGACCTCTGATTAAAGTACCAGAATCTTCAGGGTTTGAACAGGAGAGGCTGGTGGGAGGTGAGCAGGAAGAGAATGGCCATGTGAATGTCCTTGAATTCTGCCCCTCAGCTCTCTGTGAAGAGGAGGGGTCTTTGCCTTGATCACATCATACCCCCGATGGAGACTTGCCCATTGGAGCCTCGAGGCTGTGGATTCTGTTGTTGGATGGATCTTCCTGGACGTGGGAAACTAGGAAGGAAGGACGATAGACGTTCCCTGGGGAAACCCAGGGGACTCTTGGAGAAACCACATCAAGATATGTGTAAAAGGCTGTGTTTGTCAAGGACTGAATGTGGTTTCAGAAGAAACCAGTAGCTTGCTACTTTCTTTGTTCAGAAATACTAGGCTCCTCCAAAACCGCATGGAAGATTTTAACACCCTCATTAATTCAGAGCTGACTCACTCACATTTCAGGGTCATTTGGACAAAGATGACATGACTCTTGGCATGCCAAAAGTTGGGATGAAGTAAGTGCTAAATATGGCATTTTGGATGATACTCAAACATTGTTGTGTATTGTGGGCTTATGAGCTATACATTTTTATTAAATCTAGTCATTCATGTAAACTATCATCCAGTTTTTCCAACAAAAAAAATTTAGCAGCTCTGCTGCAGCTGGAATATAAAAGTGGAGGTGGCCTGAAGTGGGCACGGCCTGTGGACTGCAGTCTTGTTCTGTGGTTGGTGCTGGCGGGGGCGGGGTGGTGTTGGGGGCTGGGGGGGCCCGGATCCCTCAGATCTCTGCCCAGTGACCCCTCTGCGGGCACACCTGCCCTCAGCGCCTCGTGCAGAGTGATTCTTCCTCTGCAGCTGCCCTGCCTCACACACAGGGCACGGTGGTCCTGGAAGAACTTGGACTCTGAGCCCGGAGGCCCCGGATCCCAGTCCTGGCTGGACCAGCGGTTGTGGGTTGACTGTGTCCTCACCTGTAAAACAGAGCCGCGGGGTGAGCTGGGCTGGCAGCGCTGCGCAGTGCCCGCACCTGTGAGAGGTGTGGTGCTGCGGGGTGACTGCAGCCGTCAGCGCTGCGCTTGTAGTTTCTGCACTGCGCAGTGTCCCCTGTCTGTGTCTCCTCTGAGGGTGTTGCCCTCTGCCCCGGGCTCCCCTTGGTTGGACTTGTGCTCCTGGGCCCAGCGTCTTTCCCTCTGGCTCACCTGGGCTCCCACGCACAGCGCTACTCCTGGTCACCTCCCTGAACGCTGGTTGAGTGGGCAGCCTGAGGACCTGGTGAGCCGACACCGGCAACAGACTGGACTTGGACGTTGCTGACATTCACCTCTTTCAGCGAGCACTGACATTCTGTCGCCGGCTTATCTTGGTGTTACATGCGGACACCACCATCCTCGAAGCACAGAGTCTCTCCAGTGACTCCTGGAAGTTCTCTGTTTTTTTGTTTATGTTTTAACGAAGCTGGATGAGTGCTTGGTTAGGCCTAGTTTAGACTTTTCCAGACTAGGGTAGCAGTATTGACACCTGTGGATTAGACCCTGGAGCCTCTCCAGGTGGTCTCCTTCATTGTTTGTGAGATGAATTCTCACCTTCTTGGTACTATTCCTTTGGCCCACTTTGGGCAGAAGTCAGGTGGCCTAATTGTTAAGAATCCTCATTTTTCTAAAGTAACTTTACGGAGTTATCAGTGACACACAGCAAACCGCGCATGTTGACGGTGTAATGATCAGGTGGTGTTTGTTGTTTTGAACTTGCAGAATCAGCTTGTAGACAAATCTTGGGAGATATTCCTGTGGCCAGAGAACAGAAGTGTGTCATCAGCCCTGGTTATGGAAAACCACACGTGTATCTCCAGGAGCATAGGTGCAGCTTTCAGGGGGGCGAGAGCTGTGGACGTAGGGGCTTGGGAGATGTCCTCCGTGTT